TTTGCAACACCAAATCATGCAGTTTTCCAGGATATGGTGTATATATGCTTTTTATCTTCTTTTCACTATAAGCCATTTTTAGTGATAGAGAGAAACACATCCAGAAGCAAAATCATTTAAAGATACATCCTTATCACCAAAAGGAGAGGCTGCATAAGAAATGGAGGCTATCGTGTCCGTCCCTAACACTCTCTGCTTTTAGATTCCCTGAGCTGTGCGATGCAGGACCCTTTGCAGACTTAATAAAATGCCTCTCATTTTCATTCCTTTCTTTCTGTGACTTTGTGAGAGCTTCTCTAACTCACTGGAGCAGAGCTGAATTTTCTTAAAATCTTAAACAATTGAATGCGATCCCCCATATAACTGCCACATGGCAGCAATGGCAAGTTTGGTAGAAAAGAGCTGGAGAAGGTCCCGCCACACTCAGGCATCTCAGTTCCCTGGCTGTCTGGTCGTCTTGGGACAGGTGCCACATTTCAGAGATGAGACCTTCATCCTATCAACGAAATTGGATCTGGACAGGAGCAGATCAATGTACCTCAAGCTTCACTCACCAGTCTATGCTGATGACTAGCCAAATGCAGACACGTCTTATATAACCAGACACATGATTATCACTGCACTCATGGTTCTGATCTTCTCTCTAGGCGACACAAAGCTAGATGTCCTGGGATGACACAAAGGGCACAGGAGCCAGCTACAGGTGAGGGACCGAATCACCTAGGAAACTGTGTCAGGACCCAAATACGATCTCACAGCTCCTCTGCGCACTATGCTATGGTGGTTAAGCTAAACTCCCCCTGGCTCTACCACTGCCCACTAGTTATGGTAGGTTAGTAACTTGCAGTTCCCCAACCTGCCTTTGTAAATGGGCCTCTTATTCCTTCCATCAGCTCTTACCACACCACACCATACCCACACCTGTGTCCATCACAGCACATGGTTTCCGCAACCAGGGACACTCTCACTGTCCACTCGGGACAGTCAAGTCCTCCTGTCATTTGAAATGCATTAAGTCCACCTCCTCCTGGAACCCCACAGGGCCCACTGTAACTTACAGAGCTCCTCCCCTCTGCTGACACCTTGATCTCCTACCTGGGCATGGGGAGCAGGTTCTGTTCAGCAGGCTCATCTTTCTGTGCCCCACCACCACCACCCTGGGGATGGAGTGGAAATCAGAAACCACATTCTAGAATTGCCTGGCACCTGTTGGATCTTCTAGAGTTTTTGTCAGAGGCAATGCGTGAATAAACACCAGCTGCCATGGAAAGGACTGGGCCCAGAAAGTCTGGCCTGAATCCAACAGAAAGCAGTTCCCTGTCTCCTCCCTCCTGAGAGGCAGGACAGCCTGACACACTTGGTTTCACGTGAGGGTTCAGAGTCCTCCTAGCTGGCCCCAGCTGCAGCCCCACCACTCACAGGCTGCGCCACTTAGGCAAGCGCTGCCATTTTGAATTTCAATGTCCCCCAAAGGCCATGTGTTAAAGGCTCCCCAGCCTGACGCTATGGGAAGTGGCAGAACATTTGAGGGATGGGGTCTAGCAGGAGAAGCGTGAGACCCTTGCCTCTTCCTCTTTCCGTCCCGTGCTTCCAAACCATGAGGTCAGTGGTTGCATCACGCACCCCCATGAGAAGTGCAGCTTCGTCACACGCCCACAGCAGTGAGGCCAGCTGATCATGGGCGAGCTGAAACCCCCACAACTGTGAACCCAGGCAGACCTGCTAAGGGAAAGGCTCATTATTCGCAGCAGCATGTGTGATAGTACAGAAAGGTGGAAGCTAACATAGTGAGCGTCGGTGGCATTTCCAACCTGTGAACTGGTATAAGTTTTAGGGCCAAACAGTGGAATCCTATACCCTGAAAGAGGAAACAACCCAGAATCAGACCCACAGGAGAGATGAGACACTGGCCATGTTGACCCTGAAAACTTGCAACAATATACTGTTTTTATCCTGTAGGCTGGGACTAAGACGATTCCCACACCATGGGTTTCCGCTTGAGAGGGTATTGGTGGCCTGTCCTACGCCTCTATGGTGGAAGCAAGATCTATCCCACTGGAAAATAGAGGAGGCTAAAACCTGCCTATTCCCCCTTTTGGATTTGCCCTCTGAGTCAAAATCTAAATTTCTCATAGGCCTCAAAACATCATCCCAACTTTATCTTTGCCCTCCATTTCACAAACCTAGAATTTCCATTAAAATTCTCTTTCATAAATGTCAGTTTGCCAAACAATTGCCAAGCGAATTGCCAGTGATAGATGGTGCCGTTCTCCACAGCTGAAGTCATTGTTGCTGACACGGCTCCTATCGGCAACCACAAGTGGGCCCATAAAGTCAGCCGTGCCCCTGTGCATATTCATGCCAGACACCTTCGGACCCTCCCGATCCTATCCCAGGCCATCAGATGCTATAGGGGCTGGCTCTGTGCATAATTCAATCAACCAGTTAACAGACCAGAAGAGATGTGCTGCCCAAGGTATGCCTCGATTTGTGCTGAGAGTGGGGGATGCTGAAGAGGGCCACCCACCCATCCCCAAGTATTTGTAGAGGGCCGTGGTGTCTCTGATGGGAGCCACTGTTGATACCAGGGAGTGGGGTAATAAATGTAACCCAAAGGTAACGATTGAGTGGGAGAGACAGATGATAAATTAGTAAACAATAAATGGTGAGGTCTCTTCAGCTGGTGGGTAGATGGTATACAAAACACACACGACACACGACACAGTGGCTGAGGGCAGAAGGCAGGATGGAGACAGCAGGATGAAAGTCAATCCTTGCCCACCGGGAATCTACATCCGAGTGGAGGAATTCACCTGACTCAACAACAGTGATGCTATGATATTACAATGCAATACTGTAAGCTAATGTGGCTGAGACCTTGGAGCTGTAAGACTTCAGAGGAGGGAAGAGGAGACAGAGAGGACAGCCTCATTAGGGACACGGTACAGAGAAGGAGCTCCTGGGAGAGTCACCAATATCCAGCCTTTCCCGTGAGCCAGGCCTTACCATACCCACCTCACAGACAAACTGAGAGTCAGACCCCACAGTTGTGCTGCTAGTAACGAGCTGTGCCAAGTCTTGGCTCACACTTGGTCACACGGAAATCTGCTGTCGCAGAGCTCCTGAGAAGCGCTCATAGATACATTCACATTCGTAAAATGAGGATTATTGTTTTATGTTTCAGAGGCAGATGACAGAAGAGAATTGCTCCTGGAAAACTGGGACCTCTCCGGCCATCTGCAACTCCAAGCCATAGGCTCCCCTTGTCTTCCCCCAAGCTTGGCTCTCTGCCTCCCTGGGCTTCCAGAGAGAGCTTCATGGCTCTTCAGTCCATGGCAGTGGCAGCAGCAGTAATAAAATAGATCAGGACAGAGCTTGTCAAGAACTCCCAGCTCCACTGTCACCCTTAAACACAACACATAACTCTCCCTCAGCTGTCATAGCCTGGCTCCCAATTATCAGGCAAGGTCATGGCCAGAGAGAGCATCAGCTGATGGAGACAAGGAGGACAGATGAGCAACAAAGGATGTGGGACTTCAGATGCTTAGGGTTTGAAGTGTTTGGGGCTTTCCTTTTTTTTCTTTTAAAATTGACTCAACTGAGTTATAATCTACATACAATAAAGTGCACCTATTTTAAAGATACAGTACAGTGAGTTTTGACAACTACACACATCCGTGTGCTCAGAGATGTGGATGATTCTATCCAGACCACTTGCAAGATGCCAAGTCATCCCACAAGAATGTCACCACTTGCAGGATAGCCCTGGGGACTGTCTTAGATGGTCTCCGTAAGCAGACCATTTCAAAAGTGCCAGTCTTCCAGAAGGTGCGTGAAGAGGGCCTCTAAGGACACCTGAATACCACCGGCAAAAATCTCCATTCTTCCACCAGCCCACAACAAAGGTCCTTTCACACCTTGGCTATTTCAGAGTCAGAACGACGTAGTGAAGAAGGATACAACATTTGAAGCTGGATGAATTCTAGCCCACACCTCGTGAATGCTTCAGTTTCCTTTCTCTGTAATGGAGATAACAGCAGTGTCTATCAGATGCCATGGGTGTGTAAAGTGCTTACAAGTGTAGCATGATCGTAAGCAGTCTGTGTTCCATAAGCACTGCCACTGTGCAGGATCCTAGGGATGGAGACGTGGGCCCCCTTTGCTCAGGCCTAAGGAAAGAAGAAACAGAGCAGGAGAGAACAGCTACCTTAATGTGCCCTGTAACCTAACCCTTTTCAGAAAAGCAAACTTGAGATGCTCATTTGACTGTTGGTGTCAGGCAAGCAAAGCTTTCAGGTGCACAGGGTGAGAGATAAAGCAGACACCAGAGGTGGCGCCTTATCGGTGAATGGACACACCCAAACGGGGCCTCCTGCAGTGGTATTTAAAGGTTGGGGGCCCTTGGGAAATTTCTTTGTCTCGGGATCTGGACACCAGGGAGGGCAGGGTCATATTTTTGGACAACCACACAGAGGGTCTCTGAGCCCTTATCCAGCACACAAGCTTTAGGGGGAAAGCCCAGGCGTTTCAGGCCTGCTTACACGTGGTACGGGACCAGGGTTTATCCCTTGCAGCTGGAACTGGAGGGACCAAAGCGGGGATGTGGAGGGAGGAAGCCAATGTCTTCCAAACAGAGCCCTTCATGTGACCAACAGGTGCCTCTTGGAGTGAAGTGTGCTTTCGGGTCCCACACACTGTGGCTCAACCCTTCATGGGCCATTCTTCATTGCTGACATCTTTGGGGCCCTCGTATGTCCCCAACAGTGACATCTGGAGCATGGGGACTTGCTCTCTGTACCCCAGCATCCAGAAAAATACCCAGCATATCCCATGTTTATAAACATGGCATGTTTGTGGCATCAATGAATGAAGAGCAAGAGGGATAAACTAAAATGTTTCTAGTCCCCTCTTAACCATCTCTGTTTTGTCGGAAAGACAATGACATAGGTCATGATGTCACAGCTAGCAGGATGGATAAATGCTTACTGAGTTAATTCAGATTAGTGAGAGGTCCTCCCCAAAGTGTTCATTTCTTCAATTTCCTCTGTAGTTGAAGACTGCATCTGGGAATTTGATTTAAAGTATATAAGTGCTATTAAAATTTCAATATAAATCTGTTTTAAATCATCCCCTCCACTACCAAAGTTGGCTAAGCTCACTAAATGCTGTGAAGAATAGAGAAGAATTAAGCTCACTGGCCCTTTGGGTAAAATGTGTATTTTACAGACATTATAAAATGCTTTAGCTGCTCTTTTCCTTGGCTACAGGAAGTTTAGCACCGATATACAGTCTACAAAATCTGAAATTTTCTATTTCCCTCTGCATTTTTGTGTGATCACTTTAAGAATATTTACATTAGTCCTCTAGTTTTCTCACTTCCCCTAGTTTCCTCATCAAATTACTTTTTCCCCTTTTCCTATAAACCACCTCAAGTCTTTTTATGAAGATAGCCATGAATCTAAAGATAGAGGATGTACCTTATATACATAAGCTTATATTATTTACAGTATCTGTGTAAATACCTGAAACCCTCTGAAAACCAAACCTTGCCTGAATCCCTGATTCTCTGGTTTATTAAAGTCCAAAACTCTTATAATTTCCACCAACTCCTGAAAAACTTCCTGAGTCCCTCCACTGATTTCCCAGGAAACCCAACTCACCTCCACTTTGGTAAGTTTAGCCAGCTAAGCAGGCTCCCAGTGAAGTCCCCTACAGAGCTGAGGATGGTCCACTGGTCCTTTGGGCTCCATGGTCCTCCATCTCATCCCTCCCCTTGGATCTCCTGCCACATCTTCCGGATTTTCGCTTATTGTTTCACTCACTACATTTTGAGAATCAAGCTGGACTTCTTGCCATCTATGCCAAAAGACTTTTTAAAGTATAGTGGATCCTAAAGCTACAACCAGCCTGACACACGAACATCTTGGGCAATGACTGGAATTTTAGTTTTAACTTACAACCAAAGTCCTGAGTCATGGAACAAGTTCTGGCTGCTTGTGCTTCCCTGATAGTCTCATGTGCAGATTTAATCCTTAAAGACTTCTGAAAGAAGAGCCAGGGATTTGGCTCAGTGGTTCTGCTGCCTGTCTCACAAGAACAAGGGCCTGAGTTTGATCCCTGGCACCAAAATATAGTACAATCACAGATTATGCTTTCTTTATTCTTTAAGCTGACAAAAAGCAATTGCGATAAGAGTTCTGAAAGGAACATTACAACATCCTTACCTGAGTGGGGTTAATTGAGAAATCTTGGCCAATGTCTCTCTAAGGACACTGAGGTCTGCCTGTATACAGGAGATTTTGAAGGCTGTGCAGGGGAGCCTGAATGTTCACTGACCAACTTGAGTTACAACCAGACCTCAGGAACTAATGGAGTTTGGAGCTCAAGCGTCCACTATAAAACCTGTGAGTGGAATAATACTTCACTCAGGATGTAGTCTATGTTTACAACACCTCTATCCGCCAGCATCTCCACAGAGGAATCCCACTGCTTCCCACTGGACAAGAGCCTCATCTGGGAGAGTGATCAGTCCAGCCCTCAGCTGGGACCCAGGAAATCCACAGCAGGGGACATGTTCCAGGAAAAGCTCCTTCCCAGGAACAAGTGATGTGACCCAGTTAGAGCCACTCGGTAATGTGCACAGATGTGTTAAAACCCCGTTCTTTCACCCTCGATGTCTCGTCGCTGATCTAACAGTGAGGACACATTCATTTGCAAGGCATGGAGTGACAGGAACAGGGAGGAAATGTGGATTAGCCCAACAATAGGCCACGCTGTGCAACAGGGCGCACCTGGACGTGTGCAGGGAATGGCTCTCACCTTCCCACAGGTTAGCAAAGGGAGAAACAGAATCAGTCTTTCATCCATTCTGTATCAAATAATACCAGTAGAAAGAATCAGTTCAAGCTAAAACTGACAATAGCTAAGATCATGCAGGGTGAAATGTATACTGGTAAAATCCAACCCGGAAAGTTGGGCTTTGTGGAATCACTGACCACAAAAGAAAACTTCCAATGACAAAAACCACAGTCGGTAAAAGTTTCTTGGTAATAATAAAACTCACCAATAAATTAAACCTCAAGAGCAAAAATGTGTGTGAAAAGATTTTGTTAAAAAAATAGTTTCAGAAAAGTAATAGTAGAAACAACTGGAAGTCTATTTAACTGTACTTCATAGAAAATTGAGCAAGAAATTAAATTTCATAATAGAGTTTACACGGAAAAATAACATTTCCAATGAATATTACAGGGTGTGGGTATAATTCTTATTCAAACATTTATATTCAAACACAGAGTGGAGGGACTACATGGAGGGACAGGAACATCAGGAAGGGAATTCTGGGGGCCAAGTGCAAATGAAAGAGACATTTTTGCATTGATGACCAAGTGTGAAACAGTGTTGTACATTAAGTTAATAGTTGTAGAATGATTTGTTTACTTCTCTGAAAGCAGGTGTCTCCGCCTCCCTGGCCAGCCTAGTCAATATACCACCCACTTCATTTCTGAGGTGTTTGCCAGGTGTACATTTATCGCTTGGTCCCATTGTTTTCTTGGCCCAGGTAAAACAGAGTAAAGGCTGCTGCCACCACCTCCAAGACCACCTACCCCAGATGCAGAGGCTTTCTCCCACACAAGAACACCCTGCTCAGAACCTAAGGTGGTTTACTGTCCTCTACAATTTCTCAGGAGCAGAAATATCAATATACTGGCTTTGGAAATGGGGCAAGGGACAACAACTGATTAAAAACATCCAAGAATCACCCTGTTTCCAAAGGTTTTGCCTTTGTAAAAATGTAAAGCAGAACGGGAAGGAGGAGGAAGGGAGGTCACCACCAGGCATGGTGATGCACACCTGTAATTCCAGCACTCTGGAAAATTAAGGCAGGAAGATTGCAAGCTCAAAACCAGCCTGGGCAAATTAGTGACTTGGTGAGATTCTGTCTTAAAATAAAAAATGTAGTGCCGGGGATTTAGCTCAGTGGTTCCACCGCCTCGCAAGCGCAAGGACCTGAGTTTGATCCCCGTTACCAAAAAGAAAAATAAATAAATAATGTAAAGAGGGCTGAGGACGTAACTCAGTGAAGAGGTCCTGAGTTCATTCCCCAGTACCATAGAACTAAAAGAAAAGAGGAGAAGAAGTGGAGATCAGTGCTTCTTATGTGTTCTTCACATAGACAACACAGAGATCTCACAAGATGATTAGCATTATCATTTGCTTAACTGATATTTATTAATAAATTTAAGTAGTCGTATTATTTATGTCTGTGTCTTCTGTCAACTGTGTCTCTTAAAGGACTGAATGGGTCTCCAGACCATCCACCTGGTTCTAAAATGAACATATACATCAAGTACCCCGAACAAATTGACATAAAGATGAATAGGCTCGAATTCCCTTCAGAAAAAAAAAAAATTTATTTCATCCAAAATAGAAGCCTGCAGTTCTGGCTGGCTCAATCAGCCGCAGGACAAGAGGCATGAGCCATGGAGATCCCCTGTAAGAACAAGGACAAAGATCCAGGGGATTCACACCCGTCGAGCCAACCAGCCAGAGTCCACAGCCATCAGGAAGCTGAGAACAACAGCAAGGACAACTGTGTGCTAAATACAGAACACGCTTGATGGGCCTGAATGCCCACAGCTTGCTGCGCAGTAGCCCATGTCCCAAAAACGGACTGACCTTCTCAAAGGGCACTTGCCTGAGTAAGATCCAAAAATAAATCTAACTCCTGACCAGGGTTGTGGCCGTTCACAGAACTGTGGAATTTTTATTAATAGAGATACTGGAGCTTCATCCCACAGAAGGTTGTGGCTCAGCAGGACTGGGGTGAGCCTGGAGCAGCTGTGTGAATAGGAGGCCCTCAGAATGACGGGCACATCTGCATTATCTCAGGTGCTTTAAAAGATGCCAATATCTGACCGATCCAGTGAGAAGCTCCAGGGAGAAATGCCTGAGCATTTCTAACAGCCAGGGTTAGGAACCACTGGAAACTGCAGCCTGCAAACTTTTCTGTCTCTTTCCATCCACGCAAACCTCTAAGAGAAAGAAGCAATGTCAGTCTGGTGTGGGACGCACACCTATAATCCCAGCACTCTGAGAGGGTGAGGCACGAGCATTACAAGTTCAAAGTCAGCTTGGACAACTTAGGGACTTGGGGAGACTCAGTCTGAAAATAATAAAAAGGGCTGGTGATGTAGCTTGGTGCTAAAGCCATGGGTAGAACCCCTGGTACCACAAAAAGAGGGAGGGGACAATATCATTTGCTCACCCTGAAGCATCGTTCTAGTGATTGAAAAACAGCTATGCAGTAAATCCAGCCCTCAGCAGCAGATACTGTTGCCTGCACCTCGGAAGAGAAGCCTGGACATCTAACCTGGAAGGCCTGGAGGATCGGAGCAATATCTTATGAATCTCTGTGAGTCCAACCTGTAGGCCAGAGCTGATTGAAGTCCATATTCTTAAATACCACTCTCTGCAGCCAGCGGACTTTCTGTCCAGGCCCCCTGGGAGCACTGCCATTAAACCAAGTCAGTCTCCTGAAGGTTTCAGGAACCCAGCACCTCATGAGTCCCAGATAGACAGCCATAGCAGCTTCCTGGAGGCTCTGGGCAAACTCTCCTGGAGGAAGCACTGCGATGCCTTGTAGGCAACCACACAGTGTATCTGCAGGCCATGCTGACCCATCTTCACAGCCGGCATCTGCCCAGCACAGCACACAAGGACATCTCAGGGCCAAGCGACCAGCCCAACACCTGCCAGGAGGCCACAAGAAAGTCCTGGAGCCACCCACCTCTCAGTGGAGGCAGAACGTGGTGCAAATGGCTAATGGCCTGGCTGGGCCCCTGAGCCTCCTGCAGGCATTGTGATCAGATGTCCTGAACTTTTTGCAAAGTCAGATTCTGACTTCCAGACATTTTGGGAAAGGGATGGGAAGTTTGAGAATGGTGATGGAGGAGGGATGGAAACAGCACGGTTTCTAAGGGCTACATCTATGGCTTTGATGATGCACAGCCATGAAATAGTCACAGATCAGGAGCACTCGAGGGGTGCAGACAGGCAGTCCAGT